TTCCTGTTGAAGTTTAACTTTTCAGGGCTAACATATTATGACAATACTGCTAAGCTAGAGTTTTCAGGGATACTTTGGAAGGTGCCATTTTTATGTATCTGGCTTTCAGTGCGAAACTGTGCTTTAGAGGTTTTTGCTTACCTATATACTCAATCTGTTTCATGTATATAGAGTGTTTCTTAATAGTAATTGTGTGCATGTATATGTCTGAAATAAAAATTACAGCTCAGTACAGTAACCTATGAAGAAATGCCTGTCATACATGTCTTAATACCTGCCGCAACCAGATTCATGTGCCACATCTAATCATATTAAAACATAAGTACGAATGATAAAATGCTGCAAATCTGCCACTTGCTATTTAAAATGTATGGGAAATAAATGCACTGTGGTCTTTGAACTGCAGGTAGTGTGATCTCACAGAATTGCTTTAAATCTTCTCAGCTTTCCTTCCCTTCCTCCCAGATGGTACTTGCTCACCTTCCTAAGGCAATCCTATTTTTTGCTGCATCTTCTGGCTAAAGCATCTGCTGATAGAGAGATTTGAAATAGCAGCTCTTCCTGCTTCATAGTTTTCCTCTGCTAGCTGTTGTCAGGTAGCAAACTTGAGTGTGGCTAGTGATAGCAACACTGCTTTTTCAGATATGGGAAAAGAGACTGAAGGAGGAACTGAAAGACATTAGAGAAGGGGGTGGGGGGGAGAAGAATGATAGGAGAGGGCAGGAAAAAAGAAGATTGGAAGAAAATAAAGAACACAGGGACAGAGGGATGGAAGTGAGAACAGGAAGGAGGGAAGACAAAACGGAACTTAAATGACCTTAGCAATACAATCCCTTTTGCCACCACAGCCTTCACTGTAAAATTTTACAAATTTAATACTTAATTATAGCGCACGCACACCAAAATCATCACCAAAGCATGAATTTGTGTGTCTAAAGTGATTCCTGCCCCCTTCCCTCAAACATTCTATATGTCCCTGAGAGTTCATGTCAGCCGCCACATTCAGCCTACAGATAAAGACACGTGGCGTTTGGCTCATCTGAAATGTCTTTGCTGCATTCTGGCAGGTGAAAACTTACTACTGCGGAATGGTGTCCGTGGTGGAATGGGACAGCACAGGTCTGCTGCTGCCCCAAGCATGCCTTTATTGGGAGAACGATTTGCTAATGGGAACCATAAGAAAAACTGCTGCCTGGGGTGGGTTAGTGACAGCTCCAGTGTACCTAAAGGTGATGTGTGCTATCACTTTGCTTACCTGGCTTTCCATGTGAGGTGGCATGAGAATATTTTGGGACATCTATTGTTTTTTTTCCATGGATTTCAACTGATTTGGTACTAGGTTATAAAGAGAGTCTGCGTACCCTAGAGGAATGTAATCGTGAGCTGGGCCATGCCACTGAGGGATAGATGGAGGCTCCTCTTCCAGTTCAGTTTATCAGAGCATAGTGGAATGCTGACACTACATAAAAGGAATACGATGCTTTCATACCCTCTTCCCTTGGGGCTATATCTGCATTGTATTTAGACAGGCATTTGGCTTTGGGACTCCATTGCAGAGCTCATACTAGAAGATTCGACCTGAGGTTTCCCAGTGTCTTCCAGTCTAGTACTCTGTGTTTTCTGTTTCTCATGGTTAGGTTGTTTGAGCCTAAATAGAATAAAGGCAAATATGAGAGCAACCCACAGTGTCAGCTGAAAGTAATAGACTTCTTCACCCAGAAATGCCATGGTAGGTAGGAAAAATGCTGAGAAGGAGGGCACAGAGGAGGAAGGTGTGTGTTTGCTTGCAGTAGATGGGTGCTGGTACTGCACAAAAGTCCCGGGCTCTGCAAATGTACTGAGGCTTCATAAGATTCCTTGTGTAAAGCATATTAGGTTGAAAGGGAACAGGGAATTGAGGAAGAAATGGAAAGTGGGGAGAGTTGGTGAATTGTATCCATAATACTGAAGTTGCCACAATACTATGAAGGACAGTTCCCACTTTAAATTAGCCTTTGTACGCTTTTAAGTAACAGGGCCTTGAGTCACACCTGCTGGTGGATGGCTGAAAATAGCATCCTGAGCACCTGCAGGGCTGCTGCAACGATGGGGGAGGAGTTGGAAAAGAGCTGCTGCTCTTCCCTGGGGAGTTAGAAAAGGAAAGCAGCTCTAATTTGCAATCGGTTCATTCCCCAGCTGGGAATGGGGTAGGGCTATCTGGTTACCAGTGCCTCAGAGCCGCTTTCCCTAGCAGCCAGCTGGATAATAGGGCTGCAAATTGCTGGTGTGTTCCTTTCTCTTTTGCACCCCCTCCCCTTGCTTGCCCCTATTTTCTTGCTTCCCTATACATGCTACAGCTCCCTTGTCCTAAGCTGGTTCTTTGGAGTGAGCCCTGTGTACCACTCATCTGCGGGCAAAGCTCCCGCTCGAGAGAGCTGTCTTTAACTCTCCTTTCTCCTAATAAAGCTCTAGGGACTCTGATGTTGCTGGATCAAACCCTTTTGCCCTTGTCTCAGACCACAGACAGCAGGCAAGGTTTGCAAACTGAGTTGGAAATAAAGAAGCTTCTCTTCTTTTTAATTAGTGCTTCAACCTGTACAAAAATGATTTTTGTAGTGAAAACTAACCTCTAGATAGGTCTGTCAGAGGGGCAACAAGAGCTTCTACCCTGAGGGAAAATGGGACTCTTGTTGCCCTTGCCTGTTAGCTGGACTCCTGTGCAGAACAGCTGAGTGTGCTTGCTCCCTTGCTGTGGTGGTTCATTAGTTACCAAGACATGAGAGAGGTGTGTGGGGATGTTCTGATTAGACGAATTTAAGAACGTGCACAACACTAGAAGTTACAAGAGTTAGGTATAAATTTTATGTTGCATTTTTTTTGGTTTTCACTATGTGAGCTATCAAAAATCAGGGATGAGATTATTTGACTGTAACTCAGTGCAAGATGCAAAATTCATTTATTTTCAGTATTTCTCACTGTACTGAGGTACATCAAAACCTCAATGCTTTGTCTGGATTTAGGTGGAGGGATTGTTCTCTTCAATCTAGTTTTTAGAAAATGATAGTTACATGTTCATACATATTATATAGAACTCTCCCTCACAGGCACTGTATGGAGACTGTGCTTATAGCAGCTAGCTATGACAAAATATGTCACGATTCAACCTTTGACAGGGGTTGTGCTATCATCTTAGATGTGGAGATTACTAATAAGCTTTTCCTGGTTGTATTTTTTTCAATTTATAGAAAATTGAGCAATAGTACTGTAATGCAATGGAGGACTATGCCTTCAAGTAGTTTGTGGTCATTTGGATGGTGCCAGTTCTCTTTTCCTGGCATGTTCAAGTTGCCAGGCTTTCCACAATATAGATGTAGGAGATGTGGTTGTTCACATTAACTATTCCCTTCACTCATTTGGTGTTTTGTGGTAGACACAAGTATTGGAGTCAGTCATCTAAATACGTGTTTTCTGCATGGAAGCTATAATCTTTACTCAACAGCTTCACCTGAAACAAGTAGCATCAGCTGATTAAGTTGTCTGTGTCTGTGCAAGCGTGCAGAGTTTGCTGTACCCGTGCTTCTGTTGGTTTGTTCACTCTGAACTGAGTCCAAGCCAAGTGTTTAATCCATCTGCCCATTCTCAAGCAGTTGTACTGTTGTACTTCTTTCTGCTTTTGTCTTTATTCCACTAAAACCTGGACTCACTGTCTTAAAACATTGACTTTTCTTTTTCCGCAAAGTAATTTAAATGAGATATATGGGTTCGAACACCAACTGCAGGCCAAAGTGAAGACAGATTGGTGAAGGAGCATACTGGAGTAAATTGTCT